AAATGCTAAAATTTCTCCTAAACTCTGTAACAAATATTTTAAGAGCGCTCCAAGAACCGGAATCACCGGCAACTGCAAGGTGATGAGCTTACAATTAAGGCCACTCTTGCCTCATCATTTAATTGTCAATATTTATGTGACTGCAAGATTTTGCTAACACAGTTCAACCCAACAGATATAAGGAGCTTTTTTCCTTCGGAAAGTTTCAACTTTCTCGATTTCGATTAGCATCCATGCTCTAAGGTTTCCTTTTTGATTAGTTGTGAGACTAAGATCAAAGCCTTGAATCTCACTCAAAGAGGATTATATTTTGAATATATCTATATGGATATATAACAATATCTGATATTATCTCTCTACATAAAACCTAGCTGCTAGAAACAGAAAGAGGTTTACAACTAACCATATCTGCTCTCAGTTCTTATTTATCAAATACAATAATATATATCCACCATTTATTTCTGCCTTGTTACATAAAAACTTATATTTTTTAGTAAGGTAGACTGGAGTTGTTCCAAAATTTATTTACACACTTATAATTGTATTTTGAGACCACGAACGTCATAGCCATATAACTGGAAGTGTGGACCATATTTTGATTTAATCAGTAATTAATCATCTTTGTTTAAACATCTCTTAACCATTTATGTATACGGTATACATATGTACTGTATATATTTATGTGCGGAGATAACATAGACGTAGGCAAGCTAGGATTTAATATGTCCGATGTCAAACGCGTTACACGCTAACACCTGGTTGGTTTTATAGATACTACGCACACACAATAAGTGCGAGTACACAGTAAAAAAATCATTAGTAAACAATAATTTAGTTACTTGTTATTTATTATTCTGCATATTGCAATTCCAGTTACTAGATTTCAGGCATAAATACAAACCTACGCACATAGAGTTTATGTATATCGAGTAATTAATGTCAATATTTGTTTAAAACTATCATACATGAATAAAGGAAATTCATTAGCGAACGCTGTCTTTATTAATTCCGAACATTTGTTGTTGCTAATAAAAGAAAAATATCCCCAAATATACAGGGTGCACATTTTGATGCACAATAAAAATTTATGAATCACATATAAAACATTAACATAAGTAATGTTCTCACAAATCACATAACGAAAAGATTTCAAAAAAATTCGACTAAAAAATTTCGAGATTTCGCAGAATATTTATTGATAAGAACTAGTCTAAAACGTGAATGATTCCTTCAAGGGATTCAAAAAAAAACATATTCATACTGCCGCTAGTGAACCCCCACCTTAACATAACAGTTATTAAGGCGCTTCGATATTTCAGTTTGAGCGTAGCAATACTTTTTGTTATTTGTTGTTGTTGCTGTTTTGCATGATGTCCATATTTGTCGTGTTAATTACACAAATTCTACGTTTGCATTAAAAACAATAATGCTGTGGCGTAAGCATCCGGTGTGTGTACTCACTACCACTTCTGCGATTCTTTATTGTGTGATCTAAATTTAGATTCACCTTTCACTGTTTTCACGCCTAATTACTTTATAACTACATATGTATGTGTGTTTGTGTGCGCAAAGTAGCAAATAAGCTAGGCATACAGAGAGGGATTAACGGCGATGGACGTCATGAATTTTCACTAAAGCAGTTGCATGTGATACAGTTTCTTTAATTAAATTGTTTTGTGCTTTCATGGCGCATATGTTTTGCGATAAGATTATGCTAAATAATTATAAAAATTATAGTGTTCAATAAGCCGATAGAAGGGATATTTATAGCAACACTACATCGTGGTTACGGAGAAAAAATTGTCCTGCAATATGCGATCAGTGTTCAGGATTTTGAAACGGAAAGAATCATCATTTATTACCGACCAAGAACGGCCCCACAGCTGGTTGGATTAAACCTTTGAATATAGATGAGAATTTTGATTATGGTTGCTAGTTGCTATGTTTGTTTCTATATCAATATGCAACGTCTACTAATATGGATGACGTGATTTTGACAGTTTTTGGCGGCCATGTTTATTTACGGATTTGTGCCAAATTTTGTCAGTTTGTTCAGTAAAGTTTGCCATTTCATTATGTGACGTTTCATTTCGGTACAACGCTTGGAAAGCGTTATATATAACACGATGTCGGCTGACTTTTTTTCCCGGAATTTGCACCATCTCATGTTTCATGTCTAACCATGGACACATAACGTGTAAAGCTTCGAGAAATGGCCCAGTCAAATGGCCGCCAAGATCATTGGATTTAACGCCTCTGGATAATTTTCTCGGGGGTTTGTTAAATCAAATGCTTACAACAATCAACCAGCAACACTCGAGGAACTCGAAGCCGTGGTGGCCATTTAAACCACATTTTGTTCAAATCATAAATGGCATACAATTATCTGCATAACAAAAAAAAAAAAACACAGAACCCATTTTGACCAAATTTGAGTGTTTAATTTTATTATAACATCACGTCGTTCTTGTTGGTAGACCCTACACTTATAAAATATGGATTAAAAACCACCGTTAAAATAGATTTTTGAGGGTTCGTAATAGGTGTGCACATTTCATAGAATTTTTTTCGTCTTGGAATGTATATTGAATATTTATTTCGAGGTTTAATCATACTTTTGCCAGAAGTTGCGCTCGCATTTAAAACGTTTAGCTCGAAAGACTGTTTGTTCCGCTTGGTGTCGGGAATTTATGTGTCGGGATTTCTGGTCTGCATGGGATATTTTTTATATTATAAAATATTATTCGTTTGAAACTCACCATCCTTAAAATAGATTTTTGAGGGTTCGAAATAGGTGTGCACATTTCATAGTTTTTTATTAAGTTTTTGGAATGTATATTGAATTTTTATTGCGAGGTTTTATCATACTTTTGGCAGAAGTTGAATGCGTCCATTAAATGATTACCGAAGGGCGCCGCTGATTAAGTCAAAGATCAATCAATGCGCTCTGATTTAAAACTTTTAGCTCGAAAGATTGTTTGTGCTGCTTGTTTAAACGATGGAAAGAGTCAAATAAGGATCGTATACGTTTCACGCTGGAGACTGCTTGCTATTTTCGGTACGCTTTTGTTGACTCAAATAATGCTATGACGAGCATCATACTCGGCGTTACCGTGTCGCGTGTCTTTGGCGCTTTATTGCTCTTAGTTAGCACCCCTACGGTGTTATAAAAGTACATACATATGTATGTAATTAATGTTAAAATAAAGTGTGACTGATAAACCAGATTAGCAAGTGAAAGTGCGACTTATTTTTATCTTTATTAGCCAAAGTATGGACGTAGTATTGAAGTAAATCCCTGAAGTTAAAAATATATCTATGTAAATATTTATATGAATGTACGTGTAGTGTGTATTTAAGGATTTTCAATATTTCAAAGTAACATCTGATAATGTCACACTTATAAAACTGAGTGAAAGTGTTTAAGGTACCCCGAAAGACTGGAGTCCATAAAGTAGTTATCTGATGTTTTATGGAAGCTAAAACAGACAAATCTACGACTATTTGCCTATTCAAGTATATCTATATTTAATAATACTTAAATATTTTTGTTTGTTTAACAGTTAGAACTAATACCAGTAGTGAAAAGTATTTCACACAAAAACTCAACTCAGTGCAATCTAAGGAGAATAATAATTCTGTAAAATATATTCTATATGTACAAAAGAGTTCAACAATCAATTTCAATAGCTTTTGAATTGTTGTCTACGAAGATAAAATGAGTCAGGTAAAAATGGAAGTATGTATATATGTATATACTGCGAGTACAATTGATAAAAGTATATTTGATCAAAAGAAATAACCAATGAAATGAGAAAGTGAAATATTTAGTATAAAGTATGTATAAGCATATGAATCGTAAGCTATATTTTTGCACCGAGTTCGCAGCTAAATGTATTGTTAAAACCATGTACCGTTATTATTAATTAATCAGAATTTTTTTTATCATATTTGTAGGACCGTTTAGGCAATAGGTGCCTGTATATATGTGCATACATATATGTATGTACAATTATTAATTATTTCAGTAATATAAGCATACAGTGAAGGTCGTGGAATCAATGAAGACTTATCTTAAATTAAATTATCTATTTTTAAGGCAATAACAAAGATGTGCATTAAAATACGTGAATATGTTGGTCCGGGTTAAATTTGATCATTTGGTATGCAATGTTTTCAAGAGCACTAGTAGACTCTCAATGACAATCCTAAAGCTTAATTTGATATGCACATTTTCTTCAAGATATATTCTTCAATTAAAAATAAATTTCCCATTAAAATAATTTAGTTTGTTATTTTATTTAATTAATAAATATAAAAAAAAACAATGTACATTTACAAAATTTATTTCCGAGGACGTCCGAAAAAAGGTATTTGGCGGTGAGGATTATCCTAAATCCAAAAACCAAGTTAATTATTATTAAAGATGAATATAGATAATGATCGAGGGACTACTGAAAATTTTAATTTTTGGTAAAATTGCGGCTTTTCCAAAAAATATATTTTTTTTAAGCATTTACACTTCAGAGTGGCTTGCAATATCGAAATTATTATCAACATTCGATATATAAGCAAAAGACATCGTTTATTTTTTAATTCATAAGTGAATATAACCCCTTAAGAAATACAAATCCAGGACCGGTATTTTTATCTCGCCAAGAACTGTCAACTCAGCAGAATTCTGCCGCTACAACAACAACTCGATTGGCATTTTTTCTATTACAAAAACAAAAGAAATCCTGTCGTTCAAAATTACATTGATCCTTGTTAACAATCCAAAAATGCCTTACAGTTCTATATAGTAAGTTAACTAACGATTTTCGCGGATTTTGTGACGCTAGAGTGTTTCCGTATATATATAAATCCATAAAAAACAAACAAGCAAATCTTATTTAATAGTGCATGAAGCTTGTTTTAAGACTCTTTATTGTATGTATTATTTCATTTTTTTCTTATTTTTTAAATATTTTTTTTTTATTTGATGAAAATAATGAAGAAACTTTTTTTTTTTGTTTTTTAACTGCAGAAAAGGATTCAAAAAGAAAATTTGCAATATCACTTTTTCTTAAGCGCCAACAATGATGTTGTCGGTCATACATTTGTCGCCAATTGGTTTTGTTTTTTTTTACATCAGTCAACATATTACATTTTTCCAGACGCATTCTCGACATACTCGTTCAACTGCTTTGTCACTAAATCATCACAAACAGGAGTTAATCCTCCGCTAGCTGAAAAACTACATACGCATGCGTTGCGGTTTTGGTATTTGCTTTCGCAACTCCGTTAATCTTCTGCTGCTTTTACAGTCGATATGCTTGATGAAGATGACGCCAACGTCGTACTACTGTTATTATTTGATTGCGGCGAATCAAGGTAGATTTTGAGAGCACGCTCACGTCGCGGTGAGTAAAGCGACGTTGACATGCAGCCCAAACGATCGAGGCGTAACTTTTCACGAGTGCCCAGTTCACGGCGCTCCTCGGTTGTTGGCTCTTTGGGTGCTTTGGTGACATCTCTGTAGGGGAGTAGAATATATAAGTTTTAGTTTAGTGGAATATAAATCAATTATTTATACATATGTATATAATAATATAATATTTGTATACCCTGAACCCAGAAAAAAAATCGGAGACCCTCTAAAATATACATATAATTTATCAGCGTGTCGAGCAAAGTTAATTTAGCCATGTGCGTCTGTCTGACTGTATATACGCGAACTAGTCCTTCAGTTTTGAAATATCGTTCTGAAATTCACGCACACGTCCTCTTCTTTCCAAGAAACTACTCATTTGTCGGAACCGGTGACATGGGACCACTATAGCATATAGCTGTTATACAAACTGAACGATCAACATGAAGTGTTGTAGGAAAACTTTTTTATTTGACAAGGTATCTTTGACATGGACTTCATTGCAACCGAAGCAAACGTTTTTTCTTGTTTTAATTATATTTTGCGATTTTTGCAGCAACAACAGACAGCATGGTGAAAAATCATTTGGGGAAAACAAAAGTGTCGTTTAAAGAAAAATATTGCCTACATTTAGGCGTTGTAGTGAACGCACCAGGAGAAAGCAAAACTTACTTGTAAAAGTAGACATTTCCGCTGACTGTTGACGTTAGTGGATATTTATTTAATGTGGCCGGTATTGAGAACCAACTAAGCGTGCTGTTGATACTTAAAAGAGAAATGTTTGTGCATGGGAAAGAACCGTTTATCTAGAGAACAAACATAGAAATTTTGATTAGAAATGATAACGAATTGTAATTTAAAATATATGTACAGCCGATATTATTTACCTTACTATAGGCTATATGCTCTTGCGGTATGTCGGTAATTTTTGCCAACTCCGATCTTATTTCACTTTCCTCTGCAATTATTATGGGGAAAAAAAACATTTTAGCGCTCAAACATTGTTTATAATTGTTTGTGGCACTTACTTTCTAGTGTAACTTCCTGGAATTTATCCAACTGTAATTTGTCGGCATGCCAACGTCTCACGAAAATCGTTAGACTATCTGCGGGCACCTGTGGGCTAACACCAGCTTCACACTCTTGCACGAGGAACTGTTAGTGGAACACACAAATTAGTTAATAAACAAATGTATTTATTTCCAATAGCTTTGCATACCTCCGCGCCTGTCATTGAGCGCAAATCCGTACCCAACGTTTCATCATCGCCCATAATTTCAATAGGATTTCGGCCACCCTTCAACCATAGACGACAGTTGTTTGGATTAAGCGTTTTATATTTGACGTCAATGCGATGCAATTTCGCTATCAGCTCTTTCTTTGCGTCGGCGACCGTCATGCTGGCCTTGCACACCCATTCACATATACAGGGCAATTTGCCAGTATCGTTGTCCAACTCTGACAGTCGCATAAATGAGATCTTTGCCTTGTCTTCGTCCGGCTGCAGCACTTTCCCCAGTTCAACGCTCAACGTTTCACCCATACAGACGAAGAGCACTGTCGACATCAGGTCAATGACTTCGTATTTGTGCTGTAATTTAAAATAGTTGGATGGTACACCGATTAGCGATTCAACATGTCGCATAAATGTTGACATTTTCATGCGTGGATCCACAATGATTTTATATGAATGTGTTGGTTTGCGCCCCAACTCCTCGTTCGGGTCATTGGTACTGCTACTGAGAATTCGCGGCGAAATCGTCATCCAATCCACGGCATTGATTTTCTCAGCATAGAAGAATTGTGGCGTATTACTGCGTGACATCGAGGCAGTTTCCATTGTATGGTCAGGTGCCATTTGGAAGAGATCGTGTATGCGTTTTAACGAATTCGCTTTATTGTATGCATCATCTTCAGGGCTGGAGAGGTAAGGCGAATGATTGGTCGATGAGATTTGACTATCGCCACCATAACGATTGTGCAAAGATTCGACAAGGGTGCGATCGCCATCACTTAAACTGCTATCTTCAGAATGGGATTCCTGCCCAGCCAAAGTGGTCGTGCCGGCGGCAGCGGCAGTGGCAGGTAATAATGGTGATTCGCGCGCACAGCTCTTTTGTGAAAGATTTGATGTGCAATCACTATTGGATGGACTTAGTGTATGCAGGACGTTTGCATTCATTTGCACGGCGTCGACAACATCTGCGCTAACCTTTGGAATGTGAGTGATGAGAGATAATAATTTGCCTTAGAGTTTTTTTTTTTCTGCTTATTATAAAATTATGAAATTACTTTACCTCAATTGTAGGAGTTTCCAGCGCGGGTATATCCAAAATTTCCAAGGTACTCGCATCTGTATTCGGTACATTTAGGTAAATATATGTCAAACCTCTAAATTGCTCTTGCGCGATTTCTTGCAAATCTTCCTGCGTTATGACTTGCCGCTGCATACCCTCAGCTGTGTCATTCTCTGATGACGCTGTGTCCAGCGCAACAAATGCATCAGTCTTCACTGTGGCCAATAGCAATTGGTTCTCATTTAGATTAAGGCGTACGGCAATCGAATGTAATAAAGCGGCGTTCGCTTCTTTTGACGGCGCATATACCAGATGTGGCCCATCCAATTGCATTTTTGCCACATTAACTATGTAAACATTCCATGTGACTCCACCCGGTTTGTAAACTTCAAATTCCTGACCTTCTTCTCTGGTTTCGAGCAAAAATTCCAAAGGTCCGTCCGTTTGTTGACGCAATTCGCTGAGCGTTGGATCACTAATGTGCTCCAAAGATTGACAAATCTGTTCACCCATATCATTGTAAACGACCAGACGACAACGTGATAGCGGTGCAAATTTCTCCACATTTAACAACTGATAGGCGGACTCCAGTACTGATTTTATATGGAAACTACTGACATAGGCGCGTGTGAATTTTATCTTTTTCAATTCTGGATTGTAGAAACTAACGCGTGGCTTGATCAGCTCCTGTACGGACAAGTCGGAAACGACAACGCCGTGCCGTCCAGTGCTGCGTGGTACACGTGTCTCCTCTTCCTGATGCAATTTCGGCAATAGCTGATTGATATGTTCGGGGAAATCGGTGCTTTTTGTCGCGCGTTCATTGCGTTGTGCATCTATTTGACGATACATCAGCATATATGCATTCGTGCTTGAGCTGTAAACGCTGGAGTAGTAAGCGCGACTGGAACCGCCACCAAATGACTTCTCTATATCCTCCTCGGTTATCTATAAAAGGGGGAAATGTTTGTTAGCGAACAGGTGGGAAAGAGGTGGGAAAGTGCCAAACGAAGCAATTTTATTAATTTTTTTACTATACCCAACCCTATAAAATATATAATTATATAAATTATCAGCGTGACGAGCTGAGTCGATTTAGCCTTGTATGTCTGTCTTTTTATCTGTCTGTATATAGCCGAATTAGTCCCTCAGTTTTTGAGATAACAATCTGGAAATTTGCATTCGTTGTTTTTCTTCCCAAGGGACTGCTCATTTGTCGGAAGCATGCATATTGGACCACTACAGCATATAGCTGACATATAAACTTAATAATCAAACTGAAGTCCTTAATGGAAAACATTTTTATTTGACGAAATGTTTTCACGAAATTTCACATACATATTTGTTTAAAGCAACGTTCTATTTTTCTGATCGGACGACAGCAGTATATCGCTGTAATACAAACTGAACGATCAAAATCAACTTTTTGTATTTTCGAAAGATTCGGAAGATTTTAATATGCTATATCTTTGGCAGGAGCTACGCAATATTTAGCTCACTTTAATTATTAATATGTGGCAACAATATTTGAAAAGACTAAAAATTAGTCAGTTTTACTCATTTCGACAGCTGAAAGCGTTGTTAAAAAATATTTCCATTAAAACTTCGACAAAGAGCAAACTGAATAGCGTTTCCTGAGTTAACTGAAACTAACGCTTATATACAAATATAAATATATGCAAGCGCACTCACCGGCGAAACAGATTGATCATTGAAACAGTACCACCCATTGTTATCGAATTCCTTTATGTAGGCGTAGTAATGACCGCCTGAAGCGCTGCCCGAATGTATCATTATTGCGAATAGCTCATATAAATATGGGCCATTGTCATGTTTGATACGTTGTTCAACACTAGCATTGCTACTATTTATACGATGATCAGTGCTGGTGCTCATATCGATGCCCTCATCATCGTCATTCATGTCATTTTCATGCTGACTAGAGCTGGCTGTGGTGGCCGTGCCGCTGCAGCATAAATCTTCCTCCATAGCCGAGCCGCTGTCCGTAGTGCTGCAATCGTCGTTGGTCGAAGTTGCGACGTTGGGTATAAAACCATTAGTTGCGATATTGCCGGGGATGGTGTTTGCGGTGGCGGCGCTTGTGGAAGTGCTAGGGACGGGACTCTCCAGATCGGCCGTACTAATGAAACTATTCAAGTTCAACATTTCCGGGAAAGTGACTCTGAAAATAAAATATGGATGTAAGGAAAATGTGCTTATTATTACACTCATGCCTTTAGTCACTTACTTGTCATTCAATTTGATGCGATGCATGGTCTGATAGTCAAAATCGAAGCGTTTCAAATGTAGCGTCAGTATATAGGGGAAGTTCTTAAACTTCAAACCTTTATGTGCATCACATTTCTTGTTGCATTTCTCGCAAAAATATTGATTATTGCCATCCAGTGTTTCGGGTTGTACGAATGCACGCAAAGCCTCCTCAATGCTGCCATAGGCCACTGTACTGCCGAACGGGCGTACCGGCAGCGGTATATCGAGGAAGGTGTCGGCGCGCGTCTTCTCCGTATTGCACTCCAAACATTTGACATAATCCAACATTTTGCCCTCATACAAACTGGCGATCAAATTCATTTGTTTGGTATTCTTGAATTTATGCTCCAACGCATCGAACATAACACGACACAATTCCTGTATGTCATGCTGTTGCCACGCCTCGGTTGAATCCCAACCAAAGCTGCGCGTCAAGTCTGTCGTCTCTACGGCGGATTTCTTTGATGTCTGCAAATTGAGGAAGAGTTTCTGCAGTTGGTAGGGTATATTTTTGGCTTCGTTGTCATTATCAAACTCCCAGCGATAGAGCGCATTGCGAAATTCCGGTGTCATGAAGAGTGCCTGCAGCAAACTATTCAAATAGCAAGTCATAGCTTGATTCACTAAGCCCACATAACCGTTAGCGCTGCTACCGCTACTCATTGTCGACATTGTGCTGCCGCCTGTTGCAGCTGTGGTATTGATTACAGCCGAAGCGGATATGGGTTGCAGTTTCTTGCCTAAACGCGTGAAATCACGTTCAAGTGTCATCTGTTGATACGTTTCACCTTCGGTTAGTGGTCCATATTTGGGACTACGTGGTGAGGTGTTGCGTAGTTTCAACAAGCCATCACCACCAAAAGGTTCCGTCTCGGTGGGACTGGCCGAAGCGCCCAACGCCAAGTCATCATCGGATAAAAGCTCTGGATCAGAGAGTGGACTCAATTTCAATGAATGCGTCATTGAGGCGGTATTCGTGGTTCTTGTGTTTGCTATGGCAGTCGCTGTATACAGTGGCAATGACTCTTCGGCAAAGGTGGACGAAGCGTCGTCACTACCGATCAAATCGCTCATCATGTTATTTGTCAATATATTCTCGTTGTGTTTGTTGCTTTCGTCAGCTATAATGTCAATATCTTCGTTGATGTTGTTGTGGTTTGCGCTGTGCTCGTTGTCAACAACTTCGCTGTGTCCATTCATTGCACCGCTGGCTGTGTTGTTGATTCCGGTGCTACTATTGGCATCAATACCATTTGTTACAGTTGGGGGTGTGCTAACTTCAATGCTAAGTGCATCGACGTTTGATGGTTTAACTGTGCTTGAAGCTTCGGCTGTACTTGAAGCTTTAACTGCATTGGAAGCTTTTACTGCGTTGGAAGCTTTTACTGCGCTTGAAGCTTCGACTGTGCTTGAATCTTTAATTGCGTTGGAAGCTTTGTCTGTGCTTGAAGCTTTCACTGCGTTGACAGCTTTGTCTGCGCTTGTTGCTTTAACTGTTTTTGTTGTTTTAATTGTGCTCTTTTTCGGCGACGTCGTTCCTGTGGACCCATTAGACTTTGAAATGCATTTCTTTTTACTCAATGTTTTAGTGAAATCGAAGCGTTTCTGCACATCACCATCCCAGACGTCTGGTGGCAGCAATACAAGCACATTTTTCTCCTGCGCCGAAAAGCCGGGTGCGGCGAAGAGCAGTTCGTTTTTACGTGCATTCAAATGTAGCTGCAATTGTGAGTAAAAATTAATTCCAGATAAACATATCCTAAAATTTTAATCTTACCAGTGGACTTTCCGTTCCATTTGGCTGTAGTAACAAATCATACGCCTCGTAGGGATACTGTGTACTTATATTGCGAAACACCTTTTCGATTGTGTATTGTGAACGCACGACAATATTTATTTTCTTTTGCTCTGAACCGGGTGTAAGATCGTGCACTACACATTGTGTGCTCTTTTCTTGATCCAATTGGACCATGTCGCTGCAATCGGTGAAATCTACAAAAAATAAATTTACGAAAAACCTTTGTTATTAAGGAATATGGGTATTAAAAAGTTAACATTCAGTCTCCACTCCTGTAGAATATGACTTAATCCTCTTAAAAATTAAGGAAGAAAATCGGAGAATATATTTCTATATACATACATATAAGTGTATGTATGTATGTACAAAGAAGGGATCAGTAGCTTCATGCGTTTATTCAATTTATTGATTTCTACTCATCTATATTCCCGTCTCTCTCTTTTTTAACATACATATATTATATAATCTCGGAGAATTGTTTAAAACAAATTTAACGGGTTTCTTTGGAATCACTGTAGTTTCCATACAAAGGTATATTAAGGTTAAAAATTAAGAATATAAGCGTGTTCAACATACTTGCACACATAAAAGGTCTGTAATCTTTAGATCTGGAGTATTTTCAATTTTATTATTCTAAAGATAATAAAATATAATTCTTGATTATTCTGACGGATTTTTAAATTTTCTGTAATTCATTGTAAACATTGTATTGGGTCTTTAATTATATTCGTGCGGTTTGCCAATAATCCGAAAATTAATTGGAAAGCTACTCTCCTTGTGCGTCTTTTTCCGAATATTTCATTAATTTGAAGCATAAACAACAATACTTTTCTTCACTCAAATATGTCGAACTTTGTGCCTGAAAAAAGGTTTTTGCGTAGAGTTCTACTTCATAACTTTAATATACAGTTAACCTAAGTGGTTTGCACGATTTAAAAGTGGTGACTTGGCTTGGAAGACGAAGAAAGTTCTGGGCGACCAAAAATGTGGAGGATCTGGAAGCATTACTCGATGAAGATCTTTGCCAAACACAAGAAGAGCTCGCAGAATCTTTGGGAATCACTCATCCATTTCAAAACGTTTAAGGGTAGCTAGATTCAATCGAAAGTAAGGAAATTATGTTCAATATGAATTAAAGTCAATATACATAGAAAGAAAGCTACAAAATGAAGTAATTTTTAATCGGATTATGACTGGGGATAAAAAATGGATCCATTACGACAACCCTAAACACAAAATACCCTGGCCAACGAGCCAAATCAACGTCAAAGCCGAATATCCAAGACGCCGAGGTAATGCTTTGTATTTAGTGGAATCAGAAGAGCGTGCGGTATTATGAACTTCTAAAACCGGATGAAACCATTATGAGCAATACTATCGACAACAACGCAACAAATTAAAGTGAACGATTGCCGAAAAACCCGGAATTTGCGACTAGACACGAGGCAATAAGTTGCCATTATGACAACGCTTGGACCGATGTTGCAAGACTGGTTAAAAATAATTGTTGAATGTTGTCTCTAATTTTAAAGTTATAAATATCTTGTTTCAAAATGTTTTCTTTATAGTTTTTAATACAAGATTTTTGGCTAAATAGTCTTATAGAGTATACTCTTCAAAATCAAGTCACGGCATTAGGAGTAGATCATGAAATGCAAATGTTAAAGTATAAAAAGATTTTCTTCTGAGAGAATTTTTTTCATATGTACCTATGTTTATACTCATATGTATATAATATTTTCTGCGTACTTTATATGTACAAGTACATATGTATACAAATATGTAAATCTCTGAAACACATCCGGCTTTTGCATGTTTTTGCGAATTCATTGAAATTCGTTGAAGTACGAACGCGCAAAAGTGGGTGGATAATTACAATGGCAATGTAAGGCAAAGAAGTGTGGCAGCAACAGTTGCTACAACGAGCGGCCAAATAATGGCAACAGCATGACTTTGAACAAATGGTTGAAGAAAACAAAAATAAAAGACAATAAGGAAAATTAAAAGAAAATTACAAAACAAAAAATAAAAATTAAAAAAAAAATTTTGAAAAAAAAACAAAAATAAAACTTAAAATTTAAAAAGAAAAAAAAACTTACAACAAATACAACAAACAAATAAAACAAACACACCTAGTGCGTGCAAACTGGCAGTCAACGGTAAATGCACACCGCCGATTTACTGCGAGAAAAGCAAAGAAATTAGCCGCGAAAAAAGAAACAGGAAATAAAATCACGATATCGAAACGCGTCGCAACCGCTGTAGGTCGAGGTAAAATTTTTGGCCATATGCCAAATGAGGAAAATTTCGGCAACAAACCAAATAGAAGCAAGCATGGCAAATGAAGAAATTACCGCATTACTACAAAAGCGAAACACCTCACGTGGCAACTGACGAGCGACCTCACTCGTATGTACAAATCGAAACTAAATAGATAAATATGTTTATGAATATTCTTTTGATGGCACACACATACATACATATGGATATGTTTGTTTGTTTATATGTGTTTTTAAGAATTTCGTCAGCAATGCCAAATACACATGTAAAATGTAATGATTTGCTTTCTATTAGGTCTTCTTACGTCTTGTTGATGACTTTTTTTCGAAGGCTGCACTCACGTGTACAAACAAACAGACACATACACAAACAAATATACTACACATATGAATATATGAGGTAAATTTATTGAGCTACTCAAGTGCCGGGTGCACGTTGCGATTGCTATATATGTACCTATGTATGTATGTAGATATAAACATATGTATGTATAATATATATAAACAGATGTAACTATTACTTGCGTAGGCATTTCTTCACACTTTCATCTTGGATTTTTCTCTTTTTTGCTTTACTGACTCATACATACAAGTATATATGTATGTATGCATGTGCCTCCAAGAACTCACTTTTGTTGTTGCAACTAGATGAATAATACATTTTGGTATTTTTCGTTTAACAAATTGTAGACGTCTTCCGACCTTCTACACTTAAACGAATTCGAATTATTCTCCATTTGCAACAATTTAATCGTGCATACAAACATATGTATATACTACATACATACATACATAAAAGTTAAAGACTGCATTTCGTGATTTTTGCGAAATTTTTATATTTTAAATAATATAGATTTTCGTACTCGATTTAAAATGCTTTCAGCTCGATTTTATTATTGTTGTAAATGCATGTATATGTACATATGTATATAATAATATTTTGATCATAAGTCCATCAATAACTTCATATAAACGCTCTTACATTCAGATTTATGTCAATAGCATCAGCAGTATTCCTTTGTTTACGCTCCCAGAACATTTGGCGTTGTACGAAAGATTTCTCAGCATGAAGACAAAGCTGTAGCCGAAAAAAGAATGTACGTATACGACATCCGTAACGTGTGTTATGAATGTTACACACTTATCACGGAAAAGTTTACAGAAAAATTTATTTACTTTTTTGAATGCTCTCTGTTGAAGCAGCAGTATTAATAACTTCCTCTAAAAAATAGTTAACGGAAGTGGTACATAGTATATATACCATATATTAGGGTGGGTAAAAAAAAGTATGTTTTTTTCGTTTCGTACTATGAAAAATTGATTGTTAGACGCCTTTAAGGAAGGCTCTCCGAATATGAGCTCTTAATTGTAATGGAAAGGTCCTACGCCTAACAGTTTTCCATTTTTTTCTTATTGTCAAATAGAAAAATTCATATCTCGCTTCCAAATACTTAAAAAAATATCTGTTTTCATACATTTTGTAAGAAATTGAATGCTCAACAAAATTGTCTAATATTAACGGTTGAAGTTAATTTGAGTTCGGAATCCGCCCCCAAAAACCACAACCAGGTAAAAACTGTTACGTAGGTCACCATTTCAATTTCTGGTCTTGTATTTCTTTAGTGCTGTGAGACGCCATTTGCTATTTTCATTGAAAAATATGATATATGAAAAATATATAGATGTATAATATATTAGTGTTGTATAGAGTGTTTTCAAGATTTTTTCTCGACAAAGGTAGCCAAGGTAGGTAGCATTAAAGAATGCTGTGCGCGACATAATTGCAAAGTGCCTTGGTATCCTTGGGTATGAGTATGATGAACTTTACTTTGAAGTAAAAAATATGTTTCCGCTTCGGATTCCAAACAATTTAAAAATCAATCAAAGTAGGTTTTGGCTGTTTTGAGGAAATGTTAGACACAGTAGATTACGAAATCTTGTGTGTAACATCTGCCTAGCTGGGAAATCAAAGATTTATGCATAACTAAAACGAAAATTTGTTCAAATGAAAACAGTATTTCGATTATCACTAATAATATTATAAAGAACAACAAACACTTCTCAATTCACCAATGTTTATATGTATATCATTGCCGAGGCAGATCGGTCGCAACTAGCGAACACTTGCTGTTGATGTCACAGCATCTTGACCAAACCCTGCATTCTGTGTACCACTATTAACTCAATATTACAGAAATGGAACTCGAAAAAGGATTCATATTGAAATAGGTATCCTTGAATAAGTAAGTTTAATTCTCATCAAAGTAATCAGAACGTCAAGAGAAATTCATTACGTCAAGTCAATCCGTCCATCCATCCGTCTGTGTTTTGGCATAAATTTTCTCTCGCTAAAATTATAGAACTGGTACTTTGAATTCTTATATTTTGACTAAAGAATATATTTTTCACGTTATCGCACAGTAAATATCTAATTAGGATTGTATAGGAATATAACATCTGATCAAAATTGACCACTTTAATTTTCATATGTCGATAAGTGTGTGCTCGGCAGCTGTTTCTTTAAAGAAACAATGCTGAGAAACGTCGTGTTGGCATTAGAGAAATAGCAAAGCATTTTAACATCTCTTGTAGATCGACTCGACATTTTGGTTAATGTTTTGGGTATAAGGTGCATCAACGCTAGATTCGTATCCAAATACTTGAATCTTTTGCAAAAACGACGTCGAGTAGAGGACGCAAAAGAGATGCTTGACAACGTAGCTGAAGCCCCTACATTCATCAACTGGTCACGAGTTCCTTGGTGGCAGTTCGTGTAAATTTTGGTCAGGTGGTATATAATATTAGGAATACTCGCGGTATAACGTTAAATGTTATGCGCGTTTCTAGCTCATAAATACGGGAAGAATTTTCATTTAGTATCTAGAAAAAGGACTTGGTTTCCAACGATTTGTTCC